GTTCAGCCTTGTAAGGCAAGCTGTGAAACTGCCTTCCTATGAAGTAAGTGTTTAGAATCACACCCCACTTTCAACTGTCCCAGAGTGGAAAGACACAAGAAGCGGATTGTTGAGTGAACTGGGGCTCTGGCCAGGCAGCCAGAACGCTTGGTGCTCTGTGAGCTGCTGTCCGGGTGACCCCGGTGGATCACGTGCTTGCTTTTCAGTGTCCTTATGTGGAGAGGAGGCAGACCAGAACAGTGAGGACATTTATGTGAAGAGATGAAGCCACGGGCTAAGGCTCTGTGGCTGCATAGTATTATTTATATAATGGGGTCTCTCAGGGATCCTCTGAAGGCTCTGAGTGTTAGGCTGCTTTCTTTTGGGTTACAGTGGAGATGCCCTGACAGATGTGAGGTGTGAGGGAAAACTGCAGGGTTTAAATTTCGAATGTACTATAGTAAAAGACACATCACTGTTAATCCTGCACCACATACCCCTGCGTGCTCCCGCCTTCCTGGCAGATGGCGCTGGGCACACACCTTTAGGGTATTTTGGTCCCATCTTCTAAAGCCATAGGAGAGGACTTGTGGAACTGCCTCAGAAATTGGCAAGAACAATGAGACAATGTGTGTTCAAATGAGGGGGCGTATTGTGAGAGGGAGGTATCTTTTAATATCTTAAAATACTAGGATCACTTAATATTTTAAAAGCATTATGGGGCAAGTATCTTTTAATATCTTTATAATAATTTAGTGTCTTTTTAATAATTTATTTTTCGGTACTTGGAATCAAACTCAGGATCTCAGTTATTCACAGAGCCAGACACTCCAAAGAGTTCAGTTGTATATTTTGATCACACCCTGCACATACATTTAGGTGCATTTAATGTATAAAATATTTGCAGGTGTAGTTTTTTTGGCTTGTTTTTCAGTAGGTTTTAGCCTTATAAATTCAAGTTCATGCCTTCAAATGGGAGTGGTGAATTTTTACAGCGCTCCAATGTGCAAGTAGGACATTAGTACTCGTTTCAGTAGGGGCTGATGTGCCTTGACCCTTTGTGCATGCGTGAGTGTCCTTGAACTTTGTCTCTAAAATATAATTGAGAACTTGAGAAGATTGTCATTTATTCTATCACAAGGTAAATATTCTAATGGAATAGATAATCTCTTTGGATTTATTGAGTACAGTATTTATAGATTTTTTAAAAATAAGGATTGCATAAAATGTGTTTTTAAAAAGCTTAAAACTCTCTTTTACTGTAGCGCTTGTGCTTTGTACTGTAGTACCAAGGTTTAACTGAATTCCCTTGGGAATTAGGAGCTCAAAATGACTATCAGTTCCTAAAGATGGAGACAATTAAAAGTAATTGACCCTTGCTGTTACTTTTGCCGGTCATTCCTAGATGCTGTACTGTTGACATTAGAAGTGACTTAGTTTTGAGGTCTTGAGCGTAAGTTTAACACTTACTTTACCTATTTGTAGGTAATGGTGCCAAATGATATTTGAATATTAAAAGCATGATTTAGGCAAAAACTAAAACACTAGGGACAGGTGCTGGTAAGTTTGATATGAAACTCCCCAGGGAAATTTTTCATCAATCAAAACTGTTTTCTGACACTAACAACAGATGATGCAGGGGGTGTCACCCAGCAGTGGAGCACTTGCCTGGCATGTGGCCCTGGTTCTCATCTCCAACACCAGAAAAAAACAAAAATAGAAAGAGATATTGTACAACATGTGGGTAGGAGACTAAGATAATGCAGTATAATGGCATTTAGGCTTCCTTTCTGAAACGAAAGTCCAGCTTGTTTCCTGCTCACACTGGGCCTTTTCTAGTGTTGAATGGTCCAGTGGTTTTAAGCTGTATGTTTATCTGATGTTTTGGAAGTGCAAAGGGGTCCGGTTTGTACTTAGAGTGTATTCACAAAGTCTGGAGAGCATACTGAACCTGGCTGCGAGTGAGGTCGGTGGGACTGATTCCTACCCCTTTCTTACCACCACTTCTGAGGCTCTGTCAAGGGAGCAGCTCAGAGCAGCACAGCCCAGCAGTGCCCTGGAGTGAGAAAGTGGAACTGTGGCGTCCTGCCTGGGGCAGCAACTGTACTTGCCTGCTTTGACTTTCAGGTATGGCCACTGTCCCTATGGGGCCGAGTGAACCTAGCTTTTGGGGAGTCTTTGATGCCTTGAGCTCTAAAATCACAGGTTTAAATCAGGCCCGTGGGACGGGGAAAGTAGTTGAGGCTGATTTTGTATCACTCAGTTTTGAATTTTCAGCTCCAAGATTTATGTTGTGATTGTGGCTCATCTTATAGTCTACTCCATTAGTCCTCAGGTCTGTTTTTTGCCAATATCATGGTGATTTTATCACAGCTTTGTAGTATAATTTCAAGTCGGGGATTCTTATGCCTCTTGCCTTGCCTTTGTTGCCCAGAATTGTTTTTGCTATTCTGGGTCTCTTCTGCTTCCAGATGAATTTTAGGAATTTTTTTTCTAGATCTGTGAAGTGTACTAATGGTATTTTAATTGGGATTGCATTGAATCTGTACAACAATTTCGGGAGTATGGCCATTTTCACTATGTTGGTTCTTCCTATGCATGAGCAAGGAATATCTTTCTATTTTCTGAAATCCTCTTCAATCCCTTTTTTCAGAGTACTGTAATTTTCACTGTAAAGATCTTTTGCCTCTTTTGTTAGATTGATTTGTAAGTATTTCAGTTTTTTGGATGCTACTGTGAAAGGTGCGGTTTCCCTAATTTTTCTCTCAGTGTGTTCATTGTTTGTGTACAGGAATGCTATTGATTTTTGGGTGTTGACTTTGCAGCCACAAACAAAAACGCATTCACCTACCTTATCTTTGACAAAAGGGCCACTGGAAGAAAGATAGCCTTTTTAATAAATGATGCTGGAGAAACTTGCTCTCCACATGTCAAAGACTAAAACTAGACCCATGTCTATCACCAAACTAAAGTCAAAATGGATTAAAGATCTAAATATTAAAGCAGACATACTAAATCTACTGGAAGAGAAAGTAGGTAGAAATCTTGAAGACATAGGGATAGATAGAGTTCATGAACAAAAACCAAACTGCACGGGAAAGACTTCAAAGAATCAACAAATAGAATCTCATCTTATTGAAAAGTTTTTGCACAACAAAAGAAATCATCAGCAGAATAAAAAGGAAACCTACAAATTGGGAAAAAATTTTAGCCAACCGTCTGTCAGACAGAGGATATCTTTCTAGAACATACAAAGAAATTTAAGAAATCAGGTCCCCCAAATTCAAAGACCCAATCCAAAAATGGGCATCTGAGATGAATACATATTTCGCAGATAAAGAAATACAAATGGCAAATAAATACATGAAAAAATGTTCAACATCATTAGTCATTCAAGAAATGCAAATTAAAAGAATACTGTGATTCCATCTCACCCCAGAAACAATGGCTGTCATCAAGAAATCAACCAATAACAAGTGCAGGAGGGGCTGTGGGGGAAAAGGAACACTTCCTCACTGTTGGTGGGAGTGTAGACTGGTGCAACCACTGTGGAAATCAGTCTGGAGATTCCTCAGTAAACTAGGATTAGTGGTCCCATTCAACCCCGCTATTCCCCTCCTGGGCATTTTTCCAGAAGAACTGAAAACATCATACCACAGTAATATATGTGCACCCATGTTTATAGCAGTGCAATTTGTAATAGCTAAATCTTGGAAACAACCCACATGCCCATCAACTGAGAAACTTTGGTCTCTTTATACAATGCAGTATTACTCAGCTATAAAGAAAGATAAAGTTGAGGCTTTTACAGGTAAATGGCTGCAACTAGAGACCATGCTTTTATAAGTGAAATAAATCAGACTCACATGTGTAAACATCGTATTGCCTCCCTAGTGTAAGAACCTGAAAGAGTAAATAAAATCTGAAAAGTATAGTAGATATTGTGAAAGGGAAAGAAACTGCTCAAAAGGAAAGAACAACTTGGATGAGAGGAAAGAGAAAATAAGGAAGGGGTAAAATATATATACATATATATATACATATATATATATACACATATGTATACACATGATAACTAAGATAATTGTGCTAATTTCTTGTGGTTTATTGAAAGGAACAGTTAATATTTAATTGTTTGATCAATCTTACATACCCATATCCAGTTATCTGAGTAACCACTTTGAAGATAACAAAATGTAATACAACAACCATTGTTTAATTTTCTATCACATTGGTTTGAAATTCTGTATTGTTTTTATGTTTTGTTTGTTTATTTTGTCGTTGTTCTTTTTCTCTTAAAATAAAAGAAGATTTATGTTTGTAAAGGAAGCCTTGGACAGAGGCTTTCTAATCCAAAACATAAGGATTTTCAAAGACTTTATATTTTAAAATGATACGGGGCTGGGGATTTAGCTCAGCGGCAAAGCGCCTGCCTGGCAAGCGCAAGGTTGTGAGTTCAGTTCCTGGTACCGGAGAAAAACCAAAAAAAAAAAAAAAAAAATGATACAGGTACATAGGAAGTTGTAAAAATGGTGCAGGGTCTTAGGTACCCTTCACCCAGCTCACATGTATGGGTTTATAAGATGTTAAGGGTACCCTGGTGTCCAGACCCTGTGTGGGCTTGACAGCAGCAAGGCCAAGGGATGGGTAGATGGATGGGGTGCAGGTGGAGATGCAACACGCTCGATGAGGTGGCTCTGGTGCTGTGTCAGGACTCATGAGTAAAGTCAGCAGTGTTGCTTGTATTTGAAAAACTGTAGTTCCATGTGGTAATCCAGGTATATTTATTTTAGTATGTGAAGTATAATAATTGAGATTATCTTTATGAAGTATTAATTTGAAATTCACTTTCATCAGTTTTTACATTTAAATTTAATCTTTAAGTAATGAGAGAGTTTAAGGAAAAATAAGTGTAGGAGTGAAGACCATTTGAGGCATGTTTCTTACTTCCCTGTTTTGTTGAAGAATGTGAAGATGATCCTGAGTTCTGCGATGAAAATGTTTGCTTTTTCTTTGTGTAGGTCCGAAAACATGTGAATGATCTCTATGAAGACTTACGGGATGGACACAACTTGATCTCTCTCTTAGAGGTTCTTTCAGGAGATACCTTGGTAAGTTGTATGTTTCTTCATTTATTCTGAAGCACATGTAATCCTCTTCAGAAATGACCATTGTGTTTAAAACATCTGATTTTTACAGTATTGATCCTTTGAGCTGTGAATTCTGCCAGAAAGTAAGAGTTCTGGCTAGATACCTAAACATTCTCCAACTTCAAGTGATGTGAATTTGAGAGATTGAAGCACTTTGATTAATTCGCTTATATAATCAGTTCTGTAATTAAAATATTATTTTTGTTCTTGCTTCTTTTTTTACTTGTGGGTTGTTTTGCTTAGCAGAAGTTGGATGCAAAGTATAACCATATATTAAAAGACTTACAAATAGCAAGGAAATAAGCATCGCTTTCTGGAAAATGGTCTAACCCATTCTGCAGGTGTCATTTCCTTTTTTTTGTGAACATTACTTCCCCTTCTTGCTTACCTGTTCCCCCTCATTATGTTCTGTTCATGCTCTTCTTTTCATTTCTGGTCTGTCTTGTGTCTTTGCTGTCCTATCTTCTGTCTGTTATATTCATTAGCCAAGGGAGCGAGATTTTTTGAAGACCTTACGATTGGTGAGTTCAACAGAAGCATGCGCATATGAACAGCATGAGGATGTGGAGGATGAGGATAAGGGGGTAGGTGTCCCCCTATAACTCGACTAACCCAGCTGGTCAGTGCGGTGAACGCTAACCCAATAGAGAAGTAACTCACGGCTTCAGGCTTCTCCAGAGAAAGTACACACAGAACCAAACCCAAGCCCACCTACAGGGAGGTGGATGTGAACAAAACTGGTTAAGGGAATATTTTGTCTTTTAGAAAGATAAAGTGGTTAAGGGAATGCACTGCACAGCAGTTGCACAATTTGTTTAAAGTGTACGATGGCATTTTAGTTGAAGAATTTAATATATATTGTAATACACATTGTATACAAATGTGGAAATCATACACCTAGTATGCTCATTTTTATGCAAATTCATTCCATTTCCGGAATTGATATTTCAGCCATGGGAACTGTTGATTCTTTTTGAAGGGACTCACTGAAATTTTATTTAGCATGTAAGTTTCTACTTTAAATCATACCGACTGGCAGCAGGTATTTGATGGGTATTCTCTGTCTAATAATAGCCTACAGTTTTGAGAAGGAAGATTTAAAGATCCAGGGTCCTAATAGGACTCTCAGCTGTTGAATCTCCATGACATGTAGCTGGTGCCTGCCCACCTTTAAGGGCAGATGTGCTTCTTTTGTCACCTGCATCCTAAGTGCTCCCTGATTTCTTTGCACTTTGTGGTTTGCTGGATCCAGTGGGTGGATTTATCAACATTTTTACTTGTTACAGAACTTGTTTTCCCTCCTGTGGTCTGTTTTATTATGGCATCTTTGGGTTTCAGCAATCTGGTCATGTTTAAGAAGCCACACTGTTATTCCCCCCCACACCCATTTGGAAGATTTTGTGTGACAAATTTCAGCTTCATTTTTTTATATTTTTGTTAAGCCTTTTTCAGCTCTGTTTCCTTATGTTTTCCTTCTACTAATTTGTACCATTTCTTAAGGAAACAGCATTAAGAAAATGGCTGAGGTCTGTTTCTTTTTCTGAGACTGAGAAAATAACTGTGTCATCCCCATGTAGTGTAAAACTAGACCTTTCTGCTTTTTATACAGTCTGATTTTGTAAAAAAGCTAAAATAAAATAAAGAGGAAATACATGGTTTTAGTTGCTTTTCTTTATTCTCCTATCATGGCTATGTAAACCTGTCTTTCTCCTTGGTGGTTTTTATACTAACTGCATGTTACTATACCCCATTTTCATTAACACGCTATATATATAATTATAAAAACCTTCTTGCTGATAGTGTTTATTAAGAAGGTCAAGTGGGGAGTGATACTTAGTTACTTTTGTGCATCCATAATTCCATATCTGTAGGTCAGAATTGTTTGTTAGTGACTAGGAAAATGTATGTGTTATGTGGCATTTTCTCTTTTTGTTATGTTTCAATATTTGGAATAAAGTATGTATTTAAAATGTATTCAGAAAAAGTCTTTAGTAGTTTACATTCAGTCACAGATAATCCAAAGAAATTAAAAACATCTTAAAAGTCTTATGGGCTTATGCAGTAAATACAGTTTTAATATGTTAAGGTGAACAAAAAGTATATTTCAGTTTGCATGGTCACTGGTGTCAAACTGTAGTGTTTTTTATACCTTCATTTCTCTCTTCTTAGCCCAGAGAGAAAGGTCGGATGCGTTTTCACAGACTACAGAATGTACAAATTGCACTGGACTATTTGAAAAGGCGCCAGGTATGATATTTTTCAGATTCTAATCAAATATATGTGATTAAATATGTGGAGATACGTTGGAATGAAAAAGCTAAACTTGTTGGTTATGATAGTGAAGCTGTACCTGTAGCTTGGTTAGGTAGATATTTGAAACATGCTTTCAGACCTTTTTTTCCGAGAAGTTAACACTGAGGTGAAAGCTCAGAGGAGTTACAAGTGGCACAGGTCTATCTGATTTTCCCCTTTTGAACTGGAATGCACTTGCCTAGCAGTTAATGGCGTTTTAGTGGCAGCAGAATGTTGAGAATGCCTGTGAACTGTTCTTGGGAAGGGGGATGCACACTTTATTTTTTATACTTAGCATATAAAAATACTTTCATAAAGTATTTCGCATCATACTTTAAGAAAGCGTTCTGTAAATGCATTGTATAAATGGTCTGCTGAGTAGGTAACTGTCTAGTTCTGCTGTGATGGAGTACCAGAGGTGGGGAACGGGAGTTTACTCCTCACACTCCCAAGGCTGACATCCACATTCATCACACCTGGCGTCTGTGTCAGGCGATGGCTTGTTCTCTGGGCAAGGGAACACTGTGTCCTCACCTAGCCGAAGGGACAGGGACAGGAGGCAGCGCAGCTGTCCATCACACCATTACCTGAGGGCATCTTGCCCTCCCTGGAGGAGGGCCCTCGTGAGGTAAACGTTTCATACAGGCCCCTCAACACCATTGCCTTGGTGACCCCTGAACTGTACAGACCCAAATCACAGAAATAATAATGGGTAGTTTATGAGTGACTGAGAATGGAACCTTCCCATCAGGTCCCCAGCGAGCTTGAGCATAGAGGAGAAATCATGGAAAAGGAAGAGTACTATGTGGATAGGATTTTGCTTGGGAATTTTTCAAGTAGAAAAAAGGAAGAAAACACTGGAAATGTGAAACTTAATGAAAACAATGAAAAATCAGAAGTGGTAGCAATTTTGCTTTTTAATAGGGTAGGAAAAAAGGGAAAAGGGGAGAGGGAAACAGTAGACTTTATTATTTCTTCATTTAGTTTAATAAGCACATTGAATAGCTTTCTGTTACCAAGTACTAGTAAATGCTCAGTGCTTAAGAATTTCAAATGCTCTGGCTTTGGCCTCATTTTTCCTTCTAGTGAGAATTTCCAGAAGGCTTAATAGTTAATTATGCCCCCTTGTCTGAAATGTTCTTGGTAGTATTTTTCCAACAGTAAAATGTTTGCTATCACGGTGTCTAATTCTTGGTATGTAATTCATGGTATTTAATTTTTTTATCCAGCAGTAAATGTTAGACGTCTCATTTTGTTTATCCAAATGTACAATTTAGCAATTTATAAGCTTTATATCTAAGTATTACATTACTTGAATAGCCTTCAAAATGCTCAGTGACTTATATCATTATTTATAGTATATTAATAACAGTGATTTTCAAAATTCTCTGTGATGGACATGTGCAAAGTTGTTAAAATGATTTTATGATTCAGAATAGTTTCCTACTTAATGGTAAGAGTAAAATAAAGATTATTTTCAAAAGACAAATTATTTCCAATTTTAAGATCATAAATAATACTTAGAACTTTTCACTTGTGTTTTTGACAAAGGAATGTTTTTAGTACTTACATATGCATTTTTCCTTTGTGCTTACCCTACACTGTAATTTGCTATCTAAAATAATTGAAGATAAGAACAAAACAGTATTTTGGTGATTATTGTGTTCTTTATATGATTTAGAATTGCTTTCATGTAGGTAAAGATAACTTGTATACTGATTTTGTAAACAGTTTATCTCTTTATATATACAACAGGTGAAATTAGTGAATATTAGAAATGATGACATAACAGATGGAAATCCCAAGTTAACTTTGGGACTAATATGGACGATAATTTTGCACTTTCAGGTAAGCCCAGTTTTCCTTAATTATCACTTTTAAGCTTTTTATGGCTAGTTTGTAGGTAGTTCATGTGAAGGGTGTTTTGTGTGAAAGAAAAATAGATTTCTGGCTATTTTTGTTAAATAGCATATTTGAATTGTTCTTTCAAATAACATGTTGTTTATGAGCTTGGCATCTCTTTTCCTGTTCTCTGTGAAGGACAGTAATTTTAATCTTAGAGTTGGAAGGCAGAGATTTCTTTTTATTGAATGCAGATACGTTTCTTTTGTTCTTTGGACAATATTAATCTGTTTTAGACATACACTTTATGACTCAATCCTTGGAATTTTGTGCGCGTTCTGAATACGCTTTTCCTGTGCCTGACACTAGATGGCAGCAGAATTAACAGGACGGGCTCTGAATTAGAAGCAGAGTGCTGTGCTGCACATGTGTTTGTGTACATCTGTGCTTCCTCAAACTTGATTTGAGCAGAGAACATGTTCAACTTTATTTGCTATGAGTTAATTATGTAATAAATTTGTTCCAAATGAGGAGTGATTCTGATTTAGTTTTTGTAAAACGATACACTTTGGAAAAAGTCTTCCCTGAAGTGAGGTGATTGCTTGGGAGCTTGTGTTCGGGGTCAGTTGCCGTCGGTTGATGAGATACTCTGTTGGCAGCACCGCCTCACCTGAGCAGACCCGGTACATCTTGATTACTGTGCAGGCTGACCTAAAGAAGGAAGACGGTTTCCAAAAGGAGGTCACGTTTGACCCAATCTTAAGAGGAGTAAGACTTAAAAAAAGAAATTGGCTGAGGTACAGTGTTTGTAGGAGAACGGTGGAAAACAATGCGGCCCGTCTGGGCAGTGGCTATGTCTGACAGACGGAGAGTGCAGGGATGGGATTCTAGGTGAGTTCCAGGACCAGAGCAAGCAGCTAAGCAGTGCTAGCGGTAGGGCACTGGAAGAGACGTAGGTAAGTGGAGAAAAGGTGTTAGCCAGTCACATTCACGGTGGCTGATGAAGGTGGGGGTTGGCGAGCTGGGCTGTGGCAGGCACACAGGACAGCCCCAGCCTCAGGGGTTGACGGTGTTAAGCCCTGAACCGTGGCAGGGACTTGCAGATGCAGCACATAGCTGTACTTTGTTCCCAAAATTGGGCGAGGTCCAAGCAGAACTGGCCCCAAAGTTAGTTTTCTCCAGAGTTCGTCAGTAGTTTTCTCAGGCAACCTTGAATTCCCTCTAAGTGGCGTAGGCCCCGCACTGTCTGTAGGGAACCGCAGGAACCGCAGATGGGTAAGTCAGGCCTGTTGCAGGAGGGAGCCAGATCACCATAGTACTGGGGAGGCAGGTGGTGTCTGAGTTGTGAATGTCAGACTAAGGGTTACTGTCAGGTGGTAGAAAGCACCTGGACCTGAGAAGAAGAGACGGTTAAGATTTCACTATAGGCTTTTATTTTTATTTTTATCTTTTAACTTACAGTTGTGATGGCATTGTTATGGGGGAAGTAATTTAACCACTCTGAGCTTGAAAAGTTGTGTGTTAGGAACCAGATTGATTGAATGTAGAATAGATAGGAATGAGCAGAGTCCACAGTCAGGGAGATAAACTCAGAAGCTGAGGTAAAGATCTCAGAGTATAGTGATAAAGGCCAAGAGTCAGTTAGGGGCAAAGACTGAATCCAAGATACGATATTTTGATATTTTGAAGCAGAAAGGATGGGAGTGGCCGCAGAGTATAGATAATGGAGAGGGGGATTCTGTTAAGGGTGATCAGAAAGCAGCAGACCCCTCGGGCCGGGGGTCATGGTGGGGGAGACCACGACCTTCCAGGTGGTTTGACGAGACGGTGGTCTGCTGTGAATCACAGGGTGTTACGACTGTTGTCACCAGTATTTAAAAATTAGACCAGGATCTATTTAAAATGGAACATACCTATGTTTTGGTTAAATTGGAAGTGTTCCTTCTCACTTAAATGAACTAACTTTTCTTAGTGCTCTGTATTTAAAGATTAGAACTAGTGTCTGATTATGCCAAGATATAAAGCTGTTTATAATAGTGTTAATTATCCTCATACCGAGTGACTGAGCCTTTTTCCTTCTATACGTCCCATAAATAAGAAAGGTCATTTCAAAAAATCCCTTTCTTTATTCTAAAATCATGTGTTTGGGGCATTGCAGACTGAATCTGTTTTTCGATCAGACAGTCTGAAGGTGGGTATTAGCATCCTGGTAACCCTACATCATTAGCCACCACATGCTGGACCCACAGATATTAAGATAATGGAGTATGTTGTCCTGTGTATTAGGGGAACGCTCAGAAAATGAATCAAAATTAAGGGTGATAAATCTGTTGTGCTATAAATAAAAATAGAAATGTATGGGAAGGAAACTGTGATAGGGTTGGAAAGGGAATAGAGAAAAAGAGAAATTTTTATAGCTATTAGAGATAAGCCTTGCAGGTTGAATGCCAGCTAATAGGTGGATACTAAAGTTGGGCCATTTGTAGAAGAAGGAGCAGTGTATGTGTGGCCTAAAAGTGGACAGTTGCTTAGTTTGGCAGGATTGGAGGGTGGGGTGAAGGGGTGCCGGTCACCGATGGGCTCTCTCACGCTGTGAGTGTAAACTCCTCATTTAAATACTCTTTTGAATGATGTCCCATTGACTATGAAGACATGAAAAATCAAATCAACAAGAAATCAACCAAGTTAAGACCTTATTTTTGCCCAACGCTCTTCTAGGATATTTACTTTTTGGCAATGGAGAATGTTTAATTCCCTTTTTAAACGATTAAGAAAAGCCTCGCAGTGCAGGATGTGTGATGACCGACATCTACACCATTGTTAACTTGCTTACTCAGTAAAATATACTCAGCTGCATCTTTTGATCAGTGAAAGACTATCCAGAGAGAGGCAATTACCAATTTATTTTTTATGGTCAGATGATTTCTGCCTTCGGTGTAAGTCCATTTTATACTGTGCTAATTTCCTTTTGTACCGTATCTATGACTCAATGTTAGAAGTATGCACACCTTAGCTGATCAGGTTCCATACTGATTCCCAGCAAGGCCCTACTAAAGCAGCATAATACTTAAGTAGGGTATGGTTTTAAAGGTTATGTACAAAGTTTAACTGCCTTGATTCATAGGTAAGAACGCACAGGTGTTTTCCTTGGCTAATAATTTAAATAATTTCATTCATCTGTTAGCTCTTAGGAAGATCCTAATGATCAGGTCATGGCAGTGGCTTAGAAATTTATGTTGTTTGACGAATATTCAGTTTTTTTTTTTAAACATTGATTTTAGAGACTTCATTAGTGTTTCAGGCATTCAGTATTTATCTCTCATGCTAATTATTGAATCATATTTTTATGCTTGTTTTGAGTAAGAGTCAGTGTAATTTAGAGATTTTCAAGCTTTTTGTTTCTGTGCAAGTTAAAAATCTGAGTGTTGTTTCTTAAGGAGAAGAGTTATCTGGCAGAGCCTAAGGTGATTTGAAAGGCGCTTTGCTAAGTCTCTCTTGACTCCTGTTTGCTTTCTGTTCGCGCTCAGATTTGTTGAACCACCAGTAGTTTCAAAGGTTAATGCAGACTTTGACAATGTCTGCACTTCAGGAAACAGGGTCATAATCTTCTCTGGCAGTAAACCTGAGGATTTTCCCTGGAAGCTCCTGAGTGCTGTAATTTGACAGGGAGAGTGATGTTTGTTTCAGAGGATTGGTGGCCAGAAATAAGCCATGGCGTCTAATGAGACACAGGGACCGGGCTGGGCAGGGCGCCAGGGCTTTTCTTGTGTGTGCCTTTCCCATAAGCAAGATGGCCACAGGCTGAAGAGGTTGGCCACGAAGCCCGTGAGGAATTAGAGGTCAGTGTGGAGTGTTCAGACTTGAGAGGAAGCTCCGATTTTGAAATGAGCGGGTTTGTGAAGCTGTGATTTCCTTCAGATCAAATGGGGAATGTCTGTGGCTGTGTGAGAGCTGAGAAAGAAGAGCAGTATTTAGATCCTGCCAAAACTCCGCTGAGCCCTGACAAACATTCTCCTGGAAGAAAGTATTTCCGAGGAAAGCCGACCCAGAAGGCTATAGGTGACCCAGAGGCGGTACAGCAGAAGGGGAAAAATGAAGGCAAGAAGAGTGACATTCAGCTTTCAGGGAAGCAGCCAGCTCCTGTATGCAGAGAACGGGCACTGGCAGACTCTGCCGCCCCAAACCCCACCCTGGAAGATGGTTTTCAGCGAGAGACGACGCAAGCTGTAGCTGACAGGGTGGTACAGAAACTTCTGCCCACTGCTGCAAGCGGCTGGTCTCGTGAAGTGAGAGCTTCCCCCGTGAAGCACAGTGAGACAGAAGTACAGGAGAGTACGCCTGACGGAAAGAGTTCAGAAGAAGAGGACACTGTGTATTGTGCAGGGAGGGAGAGGCATGTAGATGATGTTGACACAGAAGAAACAACATTCCAGACAAAAACTGATGTTTTTTCTTTCCGAAAGGCAGCCAGCTTAAGTTCCCTTCACTATGGTACTGAGAGATCACTTGAAAAAAGTAGGTTTGCTGAAAACCCAGCAAAAACTTACAGCAGTGTCCAAGAAAGGCAAAACGCTGAGAGGTTTTGCCCTTGTGAAACTCAGCATTTTCAGTTTAAAAAAAGGAGATCCTATTCCCTCTGTACTGTGTTCTCAGTTTCAAAGGACACACTTGGAAATGAGGTAAGTGAGATGCAGAGGCTGAGCTTAAGGTGGAAATAAGTGTTCTACATGGTCACGCCAGACGTGAGGGTTTGTGGTTTATCTTTTTAAAAAGTCATTTGCATATTTATGTGAATGCTGTACAGTTCTTTGCATACTTTGTCTTTGACTATTACACTTTTATTTTTGTGCTTTCCACATCCTGTTTTTCAAACTTTAATTTCACAGCCTTGTACACATTTATTGTTGGAATATTTAGAAAAGCAGAATGCATATCTTTTGAATTTCTCTAGTTCTTGTTTCTTGACTTTTCTTATGGAACATCCTATAAAATATTAGCTATATGGT